TATGTTCTGAATGACTGAACACTTTATATGCGTTCATTTTACAATATTAAAGAACGAACTATCACTCCATATTATAATTGTCATTAACGGTTTGGTTGGGAAGCTGTTGTTTCTTCATCAGAATTCTGTTGAAGAAGATGTGGCTCACACAGTGAAACAGTCAGAAAAATCTTGTTTTGATTTTTTCTGAAACACACTGGGATTACTTTAAATAATTTTTAATGATTCAATCTGACTCGGTGCTCAAATTATTTCAGGAATTTTGTGCCATCTACGGTCTGAAAACCTATAACGCCAATGAAAATATTCTGTCAATGGTAAGCAAGCATGAGTGAGGAAGTGATAAAATCATTGAATTAACAGATAAATTGACGTCCTGAGAGAACTATTGTTTTCAATAAATTCTTCCTGGGGGTCTACAGTTATAAATCCATGAATATTATAATACAAATGGCTATTAAAGGCATGTGAAAGTCATATCGGAAACTGTATTGAAGTACAATTATAATATGGAGTGATAGTTCGTTATTTATGTATATAAAGTGTTCAGTCATTCACAACATAAGATAAAGTGTGAAAAGACAACCAGGTGACATATTAAAGTATGTATAGTCAACAGAATATAAGTTTTATTGGGGGGTATGGGGTGAGTAAACGATAGATTCATTGTTTGTGACAATAATTTGAATAAACGACATCTGATACAAATCATTAATAATATACATCCGTCGATTAAATTCACTTACGAAGAAGAATATCAAGGAAGCATTTCTTTTTTCGATGTTGTTCTTACCAAAAGGCCAGATAGCAAATTGAAGCGAAATATCTACAGAAAGGCGACATGGAACCGACAGTTTATCCATTTCCATAGTTTTATACCTTCGCAGTATAAACGGAATTTGATTCGTTGTCTTTCTAACAGAATAAGGCGTATATGTACTGAGGATTGTATTGAAGGTGAAATCAAAAATCTTAAAAATACCCAGCTGCAAAATAGTTATCTTACCAATTTTGTAAAGAAGTATATTTCCAAAAGAACCGATAAGATAAAGCGTGACACGGTAAATATGAAAAAGCTTTATTTAAGAGTACAGTTGAAAGGCGATGTATGCAGTGGAGTATATTAAGCCGTAGGTTGATCAGATCAGTTGGGAGAGCTTTCAGTGCTGTAGAACTACACATCAGTTTTCTCAACCAGACCGTTAAGGACACAGTCCACCAAAGATAAATGTGTGTACACAATTTCATCTGCTCATGTGGAGCTAGTTATATAGGTCGAACTCAAAGGAATTTATCTTTACGCACTCGTGAACATCTTCCTGTTTGGCTTGGAAAAAGTGAAACCAAATCAGTAAATAGTGCCATTTTGTCTCATCCAGTAGATAGCGAATACCACGTCAAAGTAGATGAGTCATTCGCTGTTGTATTTCGAGTACCAAACTATCTGCCTAAAGGTACACGATTACGTCTCTTAGTTATGGTGGAAGCTATAGAGATTGAGAAGAGAAAACAGGACCTATATGTGCAGAAGAAGCACACTCGTTTTCTTTGTTTGCCTTGGTGTACTTTGAGGTCATCAGGGACATAACTATCCATATTTCCATGTTGTAGTGCTACCACTGCCCAAGTTTTTTACTTACATGTTATATTATGCCTTTCTTATTCCTTTTCCCCTAGTTTACTTTACTCCATTGTGGATAAAATTTATTTTGATACAGTCTCACAGTGTTCTACGGTAATATTTACTTATGACGATTTGAGCACAATTTATTGCTCATGATCATATCAAGTCAGTCATACAACTTTCCAACTTCGTTTATGTGATCCCACTTTACTCCGTTAATACCTTTATCATGTGTCAACCTTTTTTAATTTACACCAAGCTTATTATTTCTCTAGTATTTTATTACAGTTCACAATTTAACCTTATTGATATAAGTATAAAACTTGGGCACTGTGGTAGAGCATAACTCCAATATGGATGAGATTTTATTTTGTTAAATCGCACACTGTTTTACAGTAATATTGACCTCTTTATTTTATCACTACACTTGATATCTGTCAACCCTTACTGGGATTTACATTCAGTGTTCCCCATTTGTTGTTGTTTGTTTGTGTTTATTTCGCGGTAATCATATTCCTCGTACACCACTGAATATAACTCAGGCCTCACGCGAAATGAAACTTAGATTCTGTTGACTGCTGATACATTATTATGTCACCCGCTTGTTTATTCACACTGTATCTTATGTTCTGAATGACCGCACATTTTTATATGCGTTCACTTGACAATATTAAACAACGAACTATCACTTTATATTATAATTTAACCCTAATACAGTTTCCGATATAAATTAACATTCTACTCAATAGTAATACACACATTTCTTATCACTGTTTGATCAAAGCAAATAAGATCAAAAGAATAATTTTATTATCAAGTACTTATTTCAAAGAAGTTACTCAGTTCCACATAGCTATGTGAATTACCAGTCCTTATTCGATGTAATTTATTAAGTGTTAGGTAGTCGGAGGCAGTTGTCAGGATGTCCTGTTAGCAAAAGGGACTGGGAGAATAACATTGATTACTCCCTAGAGCACAATTGACGTAACCATTATAGTTCTTCAGGAAGTCAGTCGTGACTTTGAATAATTTAGGGGTAACACGGTCTTCTAGCAATCGCTTCCAACCACTTAACACCAGTCTGAACTACACCATGATGATGAGCCATCTAACTTCATGGCGATGTAGCTAATTTGACTGATAGAATGAAGCCAGTATCAACACAAACAGATGTTGATTTGTGACGAAACATACAATGAAGTTATCTTAAACCCGATCACTGTTTTCTTTGATCATTATTCAGGGTTTTTAATGTTGATAATTGTTTTCTATTTTGAAGGTATTGTGTTCTTTGAGCAGACGGCATAAACGAGCTTTCTGTATCTACACCAAGATTTTGACAGTGACCATTACATTAAGGTCAGTGCAATCATTTAAAGAAGTACGATGGCCAACGTATTTCATCATTCCACTCCTTATCCTTAAACTAAAAGTCACTGCAGGCCAATCCTGTAGCATCTTCTTAAATTTGTTGGATAACCTAAGATTTATACTCAATATTTCTGAAAGACTCTGCATTTTGTTGGCGTCTTCACCAGAAGGACTACATTGTCTACATACTCTAGATCGATGACACTGTCTCTTTGTAACAAGTCATGAGTTTCCAAAGTCGATCATCGTCACATCGACTGATACATTTGTAATGAAGTTAAATAATTTTACAAACCTTGGGTATCCCTGACAAAGATAATTAATTGTTGTCACTTCAGACTGTAACACTCTATAAACGTCTACTTGGATATACCAATTCGACCATAATGATTAGCCGAATATATTTCTTCTCACTCTCTTCACAATCAGGTGTTGCTACAGCATCTCTTGATTGACAGAGACAATCGCTACCTTAGGATCGATAAATACAAGAAGTTATGGACTACAGTAAGTGTGTACTGATATTCAGAAGCTACCAAAGGATACAGATATGATCAATGTACCTTTGTTTGACCCTGAAGTCTGTCTGACTTACTTACGTTTATTTTTCTGAAGCTTAACTTATTCTTAACAGGACTAAGGAGAAATTATAACCTCAGACGCCATCCTTCAGTAATTATCATGGCAACACTTACTTCCTCTTTTCTAAACTCAGATAGCCTATGATCTATACCAATCTGATAAAAATGTCTTGAACTTCTATAAAGTAATCAATAAAGTATCATCTAACTATTTCGAAGACTATGAAGAATACTTGTGACTCATAGAAACAGTATGACTAACTAAGAAGGAATCAAGACTATTTTATAATTCTGTATAAAAATCAAAAGTTCATACTTTAAAAAAATAGTCACGAAGATGATCTAGTTAACGTATACATCGTGGTATGAAACAGAACAACTGAAAGTCAGATGAATGCCGAAGCAAAAAAATGAGTCAAAAACTATACACTTTACAGATTTGTTACAGGATTTTCATCATGAGCTGACATTAGTTAGAGAACCATTGGAAAACCTGGGAGTACTGGACAGCTGTTTCGTCAGCCTAGTTTGGGACCCTTCATCAGTACGCACCCACCGGGATTCGAACCCAGCACCTTCTGGTTACAAGGCGAGCTCGTAGACCATTAAGCCACAGGGACCCAATCCAACGACCCATGAATTCTAACTTCTGCCAATTCACGACATAGCGCGACCCCTAGCCAATGTCTTCGACGAGTATTTGTCCTCACACCCGACCTGCTGCAACCTACTGGTCATGACTTCGCACCAATCACATCCCTACAAACCAACACTTGAATATCAATGAGATGCTCACTAGCGACTTGCCCTATTCAGGTAGGTAGTTACCTGGGGTTCTAGTGAGAAGTCGTGACCAGTAGGTTGCAGCAGGTCGGGTGTGAAGACAAATACTCGTCGAAGACATTGGCTAGGGGTCGCGCTATGTCGTGAATTGACAGAAGTTAGAATTCATGGGTCGTTGGATTGGGTCCCAGTGGCTTAATGGTCTACGAGCTCGCCTTGTAAACCAGAAGGTGCTGGGTTCGAATCCCGGTGGGTGCGTACTGATGAAGAGTCCCAAACTAGGCTGACGAAACAGCTGTCCAGTACTCCCAGGTTTTCCAATGGTTCTCTAACCAATGTCAGCTCACGATGAAAATCCTCTAACTAATCAAATCCCTACAAACCAACACTTGACTCTACAGATTTGTCTGTAAATCCATCTCCTAAGTACACAAAATATGCTTCACAATTTAGCTAAGATATTTAAATTACTTTATACACAGATATCAGAGTAGATGGATGCATATAAACACTTAATAAATACAGACCAGCCTGTTTCTGAATTCAAGTGGATGGAGCAAGCCAATTATAAGAAGTCTCTTTGAAGAAACATATGTATATATATACATATAGTGAAGTTAGTTACTCATTGCATAACTTACCTGCCGAATGATTTACCAACAACACAATGCCAATTAGGTCCATATTTAAGATCAAATTCTTTCTTAAGATATGATGCAATTTCACATTCTTCAGTAAATTTCTCTATACCTTGATAACAGATATCAACAGCATCCTGTTGCATATCTATAGGCATTTCAACATATTTTACAACGGCTACCGGTTTTTCATTTATCATTATATTATGATTCAATTTCTTGTTAGGAGTTTTTGTTTTCAGGAAAAATCAGTTTTAGAAAATTTTCTTTCTTTCCTTAAAGAATTTTGAACAAAACGTAATCGACTTTTAAAGTTTTAATCACTATTTCTACAACTATGAACACAATCACTGTTTATTCACCATATAATAGTAATTACACAACTGCTAGTACTATTATTATTATTATTTTTACTGTTATATGGTTGGCTCAGTTTGATTTGTTTGTTTGATCATTTGTTTGTTTGAAAAAATGAAACTATTCACTTTCAGAAATGATTGATAATCGAAATTTGATTTGTGCATTATTTACACACAAAAGATTCAATCATTCATTATTATTATTGCATAAAGATGATGTTACCCCATCTTTTTTAAGGTCATAAATATTATATTTAAGGTAATCAGGAATAGTTGATTTTAGGTGAACTACGAGTGTACCTTGCTTTATATATATATATATATATCGGTTATTCATTCTCTCTGTCAACTGTATAAGGAGAATTAAAAGTTGAGCTTGCTTTCAGTAATGTTGGCAATCGTTTCTTGTTGATTCTAATTTTCACATACCTACATGTATACAAATGATGTATTGTTCCGATAGTCCCAAGATATTTCTGTGTTATAAGGCGGATATTATTCTTACCAATAAGAAGTAATGAAGTAGTTATGTTAAAAGCAGTTAAATTATTTCTTTTGGTGTGGTTGTGTTCTCTGAGCTGGATAGTTAATTTGCGAAGCTTTCATCGCCCTACTAGGCGACATCTTCAGCGCATACACTTCAATTCGTTGAAGTGAGCTTTCAGATTTCTCCACGGGTTTATTAATCATCTCTCCTGGTGACTTTGGACGTGACTGGTTGTTTTTGTGTGTTTTCACACCTTCTAGGTTACTTGTATTGGAACTGATTGTTTCTTTGACTTGAACTTTGACCCTTTGTGTGTGAGGTTTCTTTCTTATCGGTTGATAAATTTTGTCAATCTTGATGTGTCTATTGATTGATGATTCACTGGAATGCCAAGCTTCTAAAAATTCTCTAGCATTCTTGTTGTTTGTTTTGTCTAATATTTAAACTTTGTCCCAATCGAATTGATGCCCCTGGTTGTCTGTATGTAGTGATATGAAGGAGTGGATATCATGTCTTTTGATAGCTAGCTTATGTTCGTGGTTACGAAGACGAAGGGGACGTCCACTTTGGCCATTGTAGTGCTTTTCGTAATGGCTGCAATTTATTTTGGGGATGATGTTGGTTTTATCTACTTTCACTGTTGAGTCTTTTGGTTGACATAGAATTGAGTGAAGTGATTTTGTTGGTTTGTGTGCGATGTCAATTCCTAAAGGTTTGAAGAGTCTTGCAGTGATTTCTAAGATATCCTTTATATATGGTAGGGCGATTTTCTTTGTGCTTTCCTTGGGGTCTTTTGGTTTGATAGGTTGGCTTGGGGGTATATGTCTTTTGATGAAATTCCGTGGATATCCATTCTTTTAGAGGACATCCATGAGATATCTTTCTTCAATTTTCCTTAAGGTGGGAGTGCTGCAATGAGTCCTGGCTCGCTTGAATAGTGTTTGTATGCAATTCCTCTTGTGTGCTATTGGATTGTTGCTGTTGTAATTCAGGATTTGGTCTGTGTGAGTTGATTTTCTATAGATTTGAGTTTCTAATTCCCTTGTGATTGTTCGCTTGACTAAGACGTCCAATAAATGGAATTTGGTTCTCTGATTCCTCTTCTCTTGTGAATTTGATGTCGTTGAAGACGTTGTTTATCAGGTTGTGAGCTTTATCTAACTCGTTTCTTTTGATAATTACCAATGTGTCGTCTACGTAACGTATTCAAATCTTGGGTTTGATCTTTGGTAGAATTATGTTTTCGAGCCTTTGCATCACTGCTTCTGCAGTTAAATTAATGAGTTTATTTGTAAGGATTCAAAGTCTTTCAAGTGTAATTGCGGAGTGAGATGAGTTAGAGAACTTTTGAAAACCAGCACCAGAGTACTGCATAGCTGTTTCGTCCCAGTTTGAGACGAATTATTAGAAGTTAGTATTCATCGGCTATTGAGCTGGGTCTCAGTAGCTAAATGGTCAACGAACTTGCCTTGTAACTATAAGGTCCTGTATTCGAAATCTACTGGTTGCCTACTGTTGATGAGTCCCAAACTGGTACGAAACAATTGTCCATTACTCCCAGGTTTTCAGTGATTCTCTAATTGATATCAATTCTTGACCAAACTTGAAACAAATCTCTAGTATATTTATATAACATAGTGTTTATTACTACTGTGAGCATAATTCAGTAGCTATTGGTTTTTGTTGATAACTTTACATTGTCTCAGCAGAAGTGCTTCAAATTAATCAAGTACACAAATCGATAGATTAGAGGAGCAAGTTTCATCCAGATTTTAGTAGTAATATTTCAAATGATTCGTTTTTTTAAGGGATAAGTCATCAAGTCATTATTATTATTGTTTCCTTTAATTCCTAGAGGAACATAGGGCTTCAGCCGTGAGTCTCCATTGCGTTCGGTTCTCTGCTAGAGTCTTCACGTTTTCATCTCCTCTTCTCATGACCTCCTCCAAGTCACCCTCACCCTTGCACTGACGACCAACTCGCCACTTCCCTTTCGGGTTCCACTCGAGCAATGGCTTGTCTAGTGATGTCACTTGATGGCTTGTTTCCTCAGAGTATGGCCAGCCAATCCATCTCCATTTCTTCCTGCCTATTTCTTTCACAGTCGGTTCCTGCTGGGTTGGTCCGCTCCCAGAGATCCCTCCCTGTTGCTGATCTTTTCTGGCTGGCCATCTGATCTTGAGTAATGGGCGAAGACAACGGTCAGTGAAGGTCTGTAGTTTGTTTGAGATGCTCTTTATGACGCGCAGTGCAAGTCTCTGATCCGTATAGTGAGTAGCACTGACTTCACATTGCAGTTGAAAATCCGGATCTTATCTTCGTTTTCATGCTGAGTGCTGTTGACCTCCACACAGACTTGAGAGTAATGAAAGCTTGCCTTGCTTTCCCGATCCTTGCTTTGATATCCTCGTCAGTTCTATCCGCCTGTAGTTGAAACGATGCTTCCCAAGTAGGTAATGGAGGTTGTTTCTTTCAGGTAAACGTCATTTCGAAGTTATCTCCCCGATAGATCAGACTGCTTATTAGCCACTTTGAATAACAGGGGGCATTAGTAATCTCTTCTACTCCTCCTATTCTTATAAAATCAAGCCGTAATTGATCAACCGCAGAATACAGCATGGATAGTATGGGCAGTAGTGTACCTCAGAAAGGTTAAAACATAAACAACCTTTAGAAAATCAAAACAAGTGATTCAGCGAAGAGTCTCTTTTCAACGAATTTATTGTACAGCTTGATGATAAATTCGTTGAAAAGAGACTCTTCGTTGAATCACTTGTTTTGGTTTTCTATATGTTACAATGGGAATTTTCCATGAGTTAAAAAAATAAACAACCTTCACTGATTGATTCAACATTTAAGATGAAATACACACATGATAACTTAAGTAGGTTTGAAAAAAAAGTATTTTTACGATTTTATTCTGTGATAATTGTTGATTTATTCAATAGACAAAATTATGTTAACTGCTTGGCAATTTATTTCCATCATTAGTTTTTATCATTAGTCTGCTAAACACATGTTCAGTAATGTTTTCCACTTCAGACAGAATATCCTATCCTATCCAGTACATAAATCCAATATATTGCAACGAGGTAGTGCATAGGTCTAAACACACACACACACACACACACACTAAAACAATGTAATTGACTTCCTTTCAGAAATGTAAAGGTCATCGAATCACTTAAATCCGGCTCAACAGCCTAAAACATACAACTGTGTCTACATTTTTGAATGATTTTCGTTTGTTCCCCATGCAAATTTCAGCAAAAGTAAAATAATGTTTAAATGCAGATATCCCAAGATAATATTCAACACTGGAAGCCTGGAGACTTGCAATAAAGTCAGTCAGTAAGTATTTAGAATTTCCAATCATTCTAGGAAATATATGTTTGGATATTTTACTGGAAGAGACTGGTAAATATATGCATATATAAAAACACAGGTTTTTTGTTCAGCGAAGAAATTTCTTTTCAACGACTTCATTTTCAAGCTGTACAGTCGTATTTATATTACAGAAAAGGTTATTAAGTGGCACTAAATAATTGCTCAGTCAATATACATATATATGTGATAAGAATAACGATAATTAAAATGTTATGAGGAGTAGAGTTGAAGTGGATGAATTACAAAATTATTAAAGATTGTTTTATAAGTGAATTGAAATCAAAAATGTTTTAAAAATGTCAAGTGTCGTCTAAAAATTTAAAAAAATTAGGAGTACGACTACGATAAGAATGAAGATGTGAAGTGAAGTGGAAAGAATTCAAGTGGTAAAATAAAATAAAGTAAAAACTAGAAAGAACATTACTATGACCAAGGTAAAGAAAGGGCTTTGACAAAACGTTTTTGAACACATAATTTAGGTTTCTGTTCATGTATAGCTAAAGCTTCGGCTATGCATAAGTGAAGAAAACGTAAACTTTTGGATCGATTTGATTTTGCCATGTAGATAACTTTGAAAGATGAATCACGTGGGGCTAAATGACCTGTCTCTAACAGGTGATCACAGACAGACGACTTCGCAGTTCTACGTTCGCCTTTCATTAAACAGACTGGATAGTGTTCAGCTACACGTTTTTGGAGAGTACACTTACAACGTTCAATATAAACAGCTCCACAAGAGCAGGTAAAAGAGTAAATACACATAGATGTGGACAAAAGCAGTAATCTATCCTTGACGCATTGTCTAATCATATTTCGGCTGGTAAAAACTAGTTGCAAGTCAGCTGCAGGAAAAGTACGTTTAATACATTTAGATAAACGATTTTTAATCAATTCCGAAATGGTGTCACCTGTGAATGCCAGACTCATAAACAGTTTCTTCTTTGGCACTGTAATTTGTCTGGGGGCGTGTTCTTTCTTGATGTTACGTTCAATAAACCTTGTAGCATAACCATTATTAAGGAGATTTGATCGAAGCTTATCTAGTTCACTATCGATTGTCTCTGCAGAGCAGATTTTACGAATTCTGGAGCATAAGGAATGAATAAGATTTCTCTTTCTC